CCCCTCCCCCCCCCCATATTTGCCCCCCCCCCCCAGCCCCCCCCTCCCCCCCCCCCCCCCATTTACCTTTCTGCCTCTGCCACCCCGGCACACACCCATTCCCTCAGGAACACAAAGCATCCACAACATCATCTCCTCGGCCGACGCCTGATACTTCGCAAATGTCTTTTTAATACAGTCCGTCCGTCCGTCCGTCCTTTTTCAACAGCCCACTTATCCAGCTACGCTCACAGTTGTTTGCAGCCTTGAACAGGGAGGACGTGAGGGAGGGGGGGCACTTAACAGGGTCCCGGGTGTGCTCTCCACGGTAAGAGGCTGATCAGTCACTCACGTGGCTCTCGGATACACGCAGAAACTCGGGGGCCATTCGAACCCACTGCCACCCCCCCGAGGCCTCTGCGTCTCTGCTGCTGCCGCTCTCAGAACGACACACACAAAATGCTCTCCCGAAGAACGCAAACAAGTGCGAATGACCGAGAGGGGCTTCGGTAGACGGTTCACGGGAACGAGTAGGACGGATCACAGTCTCGATTCAACGACGGAGACGGACACAACCTCGCGAATACAAAACAGCACACTGAACAAGTCAGGGCACGCCCAGTCCGAAGCGCTGAGATGCTGACAAGGGCTCCGCTAACAGGCGTGACCTTCTCCGGGTCCGTTTGGCTATGTCTGCCAGACCTCTCCACCCATTCTCTACGACTAGGAAAAAAAACGTGAGAGGCGCAGATGCCCCAAGAGCGAAGTGGCGGTAACGAACAGCATCCGATAGCTGCAGCCATACATGAGCATGTCTCCGGCCTACTTAATGGGAGGCGCAAATGTACAAACATTTGTCAGCGGCACGATGCAGCTGTCCGACGAAGAAGAAACACAGGCCCGCGTCTGCAAACATTGACACTGTGCAGAATGAATCCTGATGCTAAACACCCTGGCATGATCCGTACAAAGATTTACAAGCCCATCTCCCTGCTGCCTGTCTCGCTCAGATCACGACCGCAGCCTGTCACACTGATGACAGCTGCTCATTCTGTCAGCTCTTCACTGTAATACGAGTCTAGATTTATAACTAAATCAAGAGCCGAAGAGATTTAGTGGCCTCAACCAGACTCCGCCCCTACTTGTCCAAACATCACATAACCCCACCACCCACCTCCACCATTCAGTGACAGCTCCTTTACATCACGCTTATAGCAGTCTTCCATAACTGCTGATCCAGCACAGCCTATCGCCGGCAGCACATGGCACTGCGGGCAATTCAAAGACAGTAGTTCATCTAACCCCGTGTTCTTGGTCTGTCTGAGGAATATGGAGAAAACCCATAGAATATATGACAGACACACACACACAGTGTGCAAACTCTGGGGGATTTTAAACTGCAAACAACAAGGCCTAAGGCTACAATGACAAGGATTCCTTGCTTACCTCTGCGATATTCAATTATGGTACTGCAACATGGATTCTAGGAAATCTTCCAAGTTCCATCACATGATTAAGAGATCAGAAACGGAGTTACTTAGATTCGGTCAAAACAATCATTCCAATCATGCGGTTCTGTGTCAGGCTGGTACAAATTCCAGGGCCATAACTGCATAGCCTCGATATACGACAATAACTCGGCGTCAATAACTAAGACCAAGAGGAGGAGCCAAGCCCATTTGCTGCTATGGCAACAAGAAAAATAAGGTTTCGTCTGTATCCCTGGTTGCACACGAATGCCAAAGAATGCAGGGCGAAATCCAATTTAATCTTAAATACCTCTCTTTCAAGATGGCACTCTTTGGACCACGCCGGCGACCACATGGCAACGGCGGAACCATATTCACGAAGGAGGGTAAATTCTGATTGCGAATAATCGCTAAAAAACTTTACCGACGACACACCTGACACTGCCATTTCTAGGCTGAGCTCCAGAAAACTCCATGAAGACTTTTTTCAACCTGGGCCCTGGCTGTTCCTCCAAGACCAGGCGGCGCAATCGGGGAGCAGACGACTGGTTTACAAATGGGAGAACGTCCATCCTTATATTCCAATTATCCCACTTACTCGATCTTGGGTCACGACGGGGAGAATGTACAGGCGCACTGCAATCAGCTGTGCTTTAGAAGGAACCGTGACCTATGATGAGATCCTGCATATGACTAATTAGGGAGAGCAGGGAAGGGTCCTGGAGGTGATTTAAGCTGCTGGACCGCTTAGTGTGAGAGCACTCAGGAGGGGGACCAGGCAAAGTTTAAATTATTCAACCTTCTGATCTCACCGAGCAGAAAAATGGAGCTTCTCAGTACCGGTTGGAACCCAGAATGGTAATGAGTAACCCAAAGCCCCTAAAATAAACCCCATTTCTAATGAATCAATGCGGGATCCGGAAGAATCCAACCGAGGGAGACTTTTTACTTTATGATTGGCTCTCATTTATTCTTTTCTCACTGTTGCTTATGGGCTGCTGACTCCAGCACTCTTAACAGTCCCGGCGACATAGAAGCTAAGCAAAGCCATTAAGTGCATTTTTTTGCTTGGTGGTTTAATGAGGTTCGCATTCCCTCTCGAGAAAAAACAGAGAACGCGCAAGTTCCAGACGACGGGGGGTAAACAGGGGGGGTTTCGAGGCACGGTGGGTGGCGGTAGGTGGGCGCTCACCCCTTCCCGTGGTTGTACAGCATCTTCTAGCTCCTGTCGCTGAACTGCCAGGGTGACGGAGCCCCCCAGAGGCGTGGCCCGCAGAAGACCCACAACCTGCTCCTGAGTCCTTCCATTCACGTCCACGCCATTCACCTGCGGGGGGGGGAGATAAGAAGTCACTTGTGGGAGTTTTACCTACACATGAGTGTTCTGAGGGCAGAAGAAAAAAATGATTGGCTCAGAGAGATAACCAATCAGATTGTAGAGGACGTGGGTCCGAGCAACTGAAGGAGGCGAGACCAACACATCTGATTGGTTGGTCCCACCTCCTCTGGTTGCTTGGACTCACCTCCTCTATAATCTGATTGGTTACCTTCTGCCTCCAGAACATTCTCGCGTAAATAAAATTCCCATGAGCAAAAAAGTCACAGCAGACGCACCTTGATATGTGAATTCGCTGAAATGCAGGAAATTAGCGCGAATGGACGAGTGAGACAAAGGTGTCACCAGCTGGCCAAAAAGTGAATGTCACTCACCTCCAGCAGGCGGTCTCCCGCCTTCAGTCGGCCATCTTGGATTGCAGCCCCTCGGGGGAGGATGTTCTTCACGTAGATGGGTGCAGAACCTGCAAGGGGGACGTCCCGAGATGTAATGCTGAAGCCAAGTCCCTCTGGTCCTGCACAGACACAAGAATAAGGAGGCGAGGTTTGCGCTGGACAGTTCAATCAGCTTATTTACATCCATGTCCTCATAGCATGTCGTGACCTCTGACTGCGTTTTACATTTTACTGCCTTCTGGTACATATTTTATAATACGCTGCTCCATTCGTCTGTCGCTGGCCACCTGTACTCTTGGAAAGGTCTGATATAGACGTGACCTAAATTCCACCCATGCCGAGGACGCCCTATCGGTGCCAGATAGCGTCACGCAAGATGCAGAAATAGAGTAAGACATGCTGAGGGCACAGACAGGGACCCCTTTTCGGTGACCCGGGGGTCCTTTCACCACACGACACAGAACTTCAGACTCCCAGCGATCAGACCGAATGCCCTACGACGCACAAATCTACACAAGTAACATTGATGCAAAAATTTCACATCATTACTGACTTCTGCAGGTTAAATACGAAAGTATCCTAATCATAACCGAGCCCACAGCACAAAATCAGCCTATCGAATCTCTACTGGAAGGAGCACACCCCCAATCATGCGTGTAACTATTTCCACATCCAAACAGAACTGGTTGCCTGAGGCACAATTAGCCCAACAGGGCTCCTGTTTGTGTCCCAGAAAGGAAAACACCCTTTAACTACTACCATGACCTCAGAATCCTCCAGGCAGCAAACATACCCATTGGAAGACAGGAACAAATCAATAAATGAGCAGCATGGAAAGACTCCCCCAGCTTGGGAAGAATGCCAGCGAAAGGTCGAATATCGGAATCTTTGAAGACAGAAGTCTGTAAACGTGCTTCAGGCCCCTGGCTTTGACACGTGCTACCTGATATATAACAGTGACATCTTTACTACTCTCTTAAATGACAGGCAAGTCAGGAAGGTCCCTAATTCGCATTCCACTTTCCCAAGTTTAAGCTGACTGCATGCCGCTCACATCACCTTGACAAACGGAGTGATTAACCCCTAACAGCATGGGGTTAACCACTGAGGCATTCCACTGTTCTGCACCCGGCTGCTGCCGAACGTGTTCTGGGGTGATCTCCCAACGGCTGACATTGTTTATTGTTCTCCCAGATTTCAGGCTCCCCAACGAAGACTCGTCTTCCCAGAGAACGCGGCGAAGGCCCCATGAATCATTTAGCGCCGGGGCATCGGGCTCCGGTAAAAGGGCTTCATTTATTTATTCACACAGCGGCGCACCTGGTGCCCCTCCTTCAGAGTGAGCTATTGTCACTCTCCATTCAGGCCCTCGGCGGCAGAGCGTGGCATTCTGCACACGGCACAATGGAGCTGACGGATGCCGACTGACACCCGGGTGATCAGCTGGATTTCGCTCTGCCTTTGTGATCTAACTATGGCGTTGATTTCTGAGTGTACCTCGAAAAGTGAGGCAGACAATATGTGAAATGAGGCTTCCAAATCCCCAGTAGGGGTGGTGGTGGGGGGGGGTGAGTTAAGCACAGTACGGTTCCATTAAGCTAAAACAGTCGACGAGTGACATACACGGTAAACCAGGAAATAATATTAACCTGCGGACCTTTGAGTGTGGAGATAGAGAAACAAGAAAAAATATATAGTCACAGCAGTATGACATTAGTCTGACCTTTCTTGAGGTGGATGTCAAGTCTCCGGCCAACCTTCTTGGCATATCCCATGTTGGGGGTGGAGCCCGCTGCTGTCGGTTGGCCTGTTGAGGGCGTGGTGCTTCTCGGGCGCTGAGGGGACAGCGGCGGGCCCAGGGGGGGCTTCCCCGCGGGACCGGCGGCGTGCGGCAGCGTGGAGCAGAAGCTGACCTTCTCCTGCTGCATGTTGGCTGGAGGCTGGGTCCGTGGGCCGGCCTGAGACATCCTGTGGGGGGCGCGGTCGGGTCTCCCCACCAGGCTGCTTCTCTCGCCGGCCCAGGAACCGCTGGAGAATGGACCCGGGGAGCAGGCGGGACTCCTATCGCTCTGAGAGAGCCACTCGTACTGGGGCTTGCGTGCTGCAGGGACCACGTGGAAAAGGATGACAGGGGTCCGCAGCGCCAGCCGGAACATCTGCTGGGCTCTGTTTGGGGAGGGGGGGAGGGGCGGGGGAAGGGACAATAATGCAGACAAAAACTAATTAAGACAACGAGCGGAACGCGTCAGACTCTCTGACACAACGGCTACCGCGCTTTGTGGAAATTCGGAAACGCGGACGGCTGACGGCAGGCCAACAAAAGCCCTGAAAAAGGCAAACTTTAACTTGAGCAATTAATAAACGGCAAAGAGTGTGGAGATTACGGAAAAGCATGGCATTAGCTAGAAAATAAGAGATTTTATCAGACCAGGGCAGAATTAACTGCAAGTCCTTGGAGAATATTATCTACTGTAGAACACGGCCTCAGTTCGCTTGGCCAGAGTTACTTATGAAGGACAGCAGGTATCTGAAGGAAGGATCTTAATGCTTGAATGGGAGGGTCACAAACTAAATTCATCATATAGGTTCAGTCTGTATAGTATTAGTAAAAACTATTAAATATACAAGATGTATAATATGAGCATCAGGTATGTAATGAACTCTCTGACCATTGGCTAACAAGTGAATGACTAAGCACGTGCCCTCTCTGATTGGTGAAAAGGGAGAGGACACCAAACATCCATCAATTCCTATTGGTCAAAAGGGTATTAAGGAGCAAGGATGCCACTTTCATTGGTGAGGTGTAATACTTGGCATGCGGCGGGGCCTGTTGGCGTGAAAGAACACGCCATCAAACCTGTTACATGAACAGACCAACCAGCAGACTCAAACCTGGACCAGAAGGCAGAATGAAGCTGGCTTTTGGAGCTGGAAAATTGGATATAAACCCCTTGAAGCTTCTGGATCCATGATGGTCTTAATACATAAAGCGTTTAGCATATAGATGGCCGTGCCCAGAAACAGCTCAGCCTGCGGTCTGAGACGATAAACGATCCGAACCACCCGACGCGTGTTAACATCCCTGTGCTCGCCCTTTATTACGACACACATGACAGCACGCCGAAGCCGTCTGAATACATCACCGACAGTCACTGATTGGCCACCGCTAAAGTAAACAAGATGCCTCAGGCAGAGTTCCGTCGGCCAAAATGAGCATTGCAGAATTTATCTTGTTCTTACTCTAATTGTTCAAATTAAAGTGAACGCCACTCCTCAACGGAGCAGTGACAGCCCAGAAATCACAGGGCCTGGGTCCGGTCGGATCGCAGAATGAATTATTATATTACAGGACTGTTGCTTGACTTAGATTAACGACCTCTGAATGTGTAATCATGCAAAAAAATGCTAGCAAGCTCAAATATTTATAATTATACGGCCATATCATTAAACTTGATATTTTTTAGGAAGCACAGCAAGCGATACTGTGGTTGCAAATTAAGATCCGGGGCAGCTTGCTATTGGTGCATCACAGCAGCATCTAGGAAGTGATGAACCACTTTGTTGCTTGGAGCCAAGGTGGATCAGGAATCTGTCGAAGGAATTTCACAGGCAGAATCTGATTGGATGTTAGTCACTGGGCAAGAGGGGGAAGCAAGGCGATGGGCAAGCCCACACAGGGCAGGGGTCTTACTGTTCGAATCGAACGTTGCGCAGGTCTCCGTTATTAATCCGTACGATACAGTCGTTCTCCTGGAACAGACTCTGTTCCTCAGCTTTGCCTCCTCGTTCCAGGCGCTTCACTAAGAGTCCCAGGGTCCTGAGAAGAGCCAGACCACATGTGACCTATGCTATACTAGCTGGAACAGTCACATCACATGGTGATTTTTACCACCCCGGCGATGCCGCCCAGCTCAGAAAGCGTAGCTAGTCCGTTTCAGTGGCCGCCAAATGTATCAAACGCAGCCGATACCAACCGCAAGACATAAAGCCAGGCATCAGCACAGAAGATGCAAGGGGCACAAAGTTGATGGAGAGAGAGAGAGAGAGAGAGAGAGAGAGAGAGAGAGAGAGAGCGGAGAGCTAGTGTGACAGCATCCGATTCAAAGGTACGAGTCAACATCACAGCGTTTTGTGTTTGGTTTTCTGCACACACGATACGATCTATGAGTAAAGCCTGGCAATTTAATTCCACTTCTTACTTAATAACACCTGTCCTTCCTGCTTAAATCTCAGCTAACAGCTAATTTACCTGGATAGCATCGAGTGAAGAAAATCAGGCTGGACTCCAGCCCACAGGGAAAAGTGCTGCACGCTGATTTATATGCAAACGTACATGAATAAGCAACAAGCCGACAGCTTATCACTGCGAGCCCGTTAGAATGGACTTGAATGACAGCCGAGATGGAGAGGAATGAAGACAGACAAGGAGGGTGCGGGGTGATATTCGCCCGACAAAGGGGGGGGGACAGAAGCGTGAGGTCTAGAAGGACGGGATGCACAGCGCGAGAAAACCAGCTGCATGGCGCCGGGCCGTCCGCCAGGCGGTTTACCTGCGCTCGCGCACACTGAAAGGCACCACGTGGATCCCCAGAGGGCCGCCGTCATTGGATACCTCCACCAGCTTTACAATCTCACTGCGAGACAACGATGAGCGGGTGGTGGGGGGGGGAGACAAAATGAAAAAATGCAAAAAAATAAATAAATAAAAATGACAGATGTCTCAGTGGGGAGGTCAAACCATTCTAGTCCTCGAGGGCTAAAATGGCTCTATATTTTAAAGGAAAGGATAAAGTAAATGTGGGTGGGGGTCGGGGGGGGCGGACCTAGCCAATCACAGGTAAACAAAAAGTGACTACCTCTGAAGAAAGGTAATTGGAGGAGATCTGTCTGTTCAGTGAGAATTGCACAGAAACATTTTTTTTCCCCTCTCAAATTGGATCAAGATTCGTGAAATAAACTTCATCGGCGGGCCATGAGTGTATGCTTGTACTTACTCAAGGGACTGAACCGGCACGTGATCCAGACCAGAATCAGCACGACCCAAAGGCTCGATTCGGCCATTCTCTCCCTCCCTCGCATTCTCATCCTAGAAGACAAAAGGCAGTAGGGGGTGTTTGTGAAGAGGGGAACCCACGCCCATAGTCAGAGGCTCCAACAGGGGACTGTTCTGCTCAAACGAGGGAAAAATACTGGAGCATCATGCTAAGTCATTGGCCAGGTGTTAAGGTGAACACCTGCAACTTAACACCTGCAACCTGCATCACTAAGAAAAGACTTGATGCAAAAGTTGTAAAGGATTTGGATTAAAGCAAATCAAGTTACCTTGAATTGTTTAGTCTATACATTTAAGGACTATAATGGACACAGCATGAGAGAAGAGCAGTGGGCTTTACTGAGTGTATTAGACCTTGTTCAAAGGACGGGTTTAAAAAACACTGAGGACACACGTTTCCCTCTTTCCGACAGCAATAGGATACTACTGGCTTTCTTTGCTACTCTGGAGAGACTGTCAAGGCCATGCTTTACGAGTTCAAGAGCTGAAATGGAGAGCGCTTCGATGTTTATGCACGACGGAAGCCACGTTTGGCACGGTCCATCTCGACGCTACTCCAAGGCACGATTGCGACGACTGATCCTTTTCGACACGCCGAGATTAATTAAGAGTCATTCAGGTCATTTACAATAACCTGGGCAAAAAACACCTCTCAGGCCACACAGTCGGGCATAAATGGTCACACACTGCAGATTTGGACATGCACCAGATTTTTCAGGTCTGATTCAGGTCTGCTTGGGGTGGGTTTGTTTCTGACTGAATACATCTCCATTTTACCGAAAAAATATAAACAAAGGGAGAGGGGATGGACATTATTCTTCATGATTGCTCAAAAAAACAAAAAAAAAGAAAAACAAACAGAGGTCGAGAATGTGGACTTGGTTTGAGGTTACTGCGCTGTTCACTGCGCTGTTCACTGTGCTATTCACTGCGCTGTTCACTGCGCTGTTCACTGCGCTGTTCACTGCGCTGTTCACTGCGCTGTTCACTGCGCCGCGCGCGTCACCTCCCTCCATCTATCACTCAACAAATCCCTGCTAAAAATAAAGACAATTACTGCACACGTATCTGTAAGACTGCCAGATATCTGAGGCAAGCCACAGTAAATATGAAGTTATTTATTCATATTTATTTTTCTAAAGGAGGAAAAATCAGACCACTTTGACAAGAAAATAATAATGCTATAGTTAGTCCTCTTGGCACGTTTGAGTATCTGGTAGACCGGCTTCCCATGGAAAAGGTACAGATGCTGGGAAAGAAAATTAACTCACGTAGTCGGAGTAAATCACTAGTAAGGAAACAGCTGGTTTTTTTTTTATTTTCTTGCCAGGACAACCTTTGCCTGGTCGATCTCCCTCCCATCGGACTGGCCTAGGGAATAGCCACACTGTACCCAGCACAGGGATGGTATCATTCAGGCCAACCAGTCACAGGCTGGCCAAGGTATTCCTGACGGTTCGACCTTCGTTGCGCTTGAGGTCAGTCCTGACATAATGTGGACAGTTCCAGAGCCCCCCCCTCTGTGAGTGGTTCACTCTATTGAGGAGGGAGGAGATCTGTCAGGTGAACGTGAGCGGAGGGGAACACCTCAGCCACAGCAGAGAGCAGAGTAATTCTTCCTAATGTTTATTCCATTATTAATAAAACTGCCAATCGTGGTCCCCTGCACTTCAGTAATTCTGCCATTTGATAAATAGGTTTTCTGAAATTCAAGTGGAAGAAAATAAACTCACACGTGAGGCGTGATGTGTATCTCTGCCCGGCACAAAGGAGGGGGACGGACGGACGGACAGACAGACAGATAGAAAAATGGATGGATGGATGAATGGATGCTGTAAGACAAAGCGCAGCAGGGCCGCAGATCACAGATAACATCCCCCAAACACTGACGTCGTGGGCTTACTGCAGCAAACAAGCAGTTTAATTAGCCTCTTCGCCGGCTTTTCCTTGCACACGCAAACGCAGCAAAGGAAACACGTTGAGAGAAGCGGCCCCTGACTGGCGAGGCCACAGAGCCGGCGCTGGCTTCAGTCCTAATTAAAACTCAGGCCGATTAAAAGCAGGAAGCTCTGGCACGCAGGAAGCGGGTGGCCAGAATTCACAGCATTGTTGCGGACAGAGTGAAGAGTCGGGGAAGCTGACCTTTACTAAAATAACAGCCACTCACTGCTACCAGGATACGGTCCCCGTCGACTCCAGCCAGACTTATTTAAACAGACCATCAGGTACAAAAGAAAACAAGAGGAGTGGCTCACTTAACATTAACTACTTAACACACACGCATGCATAGATATGCGCATAGACACACACGCATGCATAGATATGCGCATAGACACACACGCATGCATAGATATGCGCATAGACACACACGGATAATTATTATGCACAGAATACACAGCGAAATGAAAAATAATGCATGACCTCGGAGTTCTGTGGAAATAGAAAAAAAGAGGCATGTATATCAGAAAATAAACCCCCCCCCCCCAACCCACGTGACGACAGGACTAATTCATGCCTCCCCCACACTATCACAGCACAATCTGCAGGCGCGGTAAAGCAAGCTCCGCTCCCAAAATACACTTCCACTGGCAGGCCTTTGAGGGAAATGTCAGGCTCGGCATGCGGAGCGTAAACACGGGCTATTCCGATCCCCAGCCCCTCGGGGACGGTGCCATGACCCGTTCCGCACCCTGCGCTCCAGCCCCCCAGCCCTTATTTTTAGACTCACCACGCCAAACTTCACAGGGAAGTAAATAAGGGGCCGCGGGGACTGAATGAGATGCTCTTAAGCGCCATTTACAAAATGTCACCCGGAGAAAATAAAGACAGATGCGCGTTGAATATTTCATGTTACGGCTGTAAAATAAAAGGACACAATCCAAGGTAAAGTGGATGAAGTAGAATAGAATGAATTTCAGACAGACGCGTGCACCATTCT